AATTCTTGAGCAGTGAAAATTTTGCTGGATCAGTGGAGTAGAAAATATAATGAAAAAAGCAACCGAACCAGTTGTGGGTGTGTTTTATAGTACAGCAAACAATTTGTATTCTAAGAACCTAGTTCAGTTGTGTGATTCTTTCCTACATTTCCCTTTTCAATTACCAATTTCTGCCACTTCAAACATTTATCAAAGTACATAATATTTCACACTGACTTTGAGAGTGGTGTCTGCTGAAATATTTTTTGTCTAGAAAATGCAGACTATATGACTACTTAAATGATGTTAATGGAGGTCAACTGTAATCCAGGCAAATATTCAGACAAATAAGAATATGACCGGATTCTGGTAGGTGTTGCACATTCGAAAAAACAGAGTTTTATGAAACTTGGGACAGTACGATGGCCAAATTTGAAAATATTTTTTATATATTTAACGGACGAATGGACTTTTTTTTAAAGTTAACATTAAGATATAGTCTCCAACCTTCATAGATTTTTTTTTATTTTGGCAGATTATCTTTTATTGATATATATGAGATAATATCTAGCAAAATTTTAAATTTTATTTTTAATACCGAATTTTACTTCTAAATGGACTTAGTTTTTTTTGTTTACATTTAAATACATAGGGCAGGGGGAGGTTCTTCATGAAATGTGAAACTTAGACATTAGCTTCTTCAAGTAAGAAATAGCATTTGTAAAGAACATTTCGATATCATTTGTCTCTTTTTTTTAATGCAACGATAGATGCCATCTGTGATGGTCTAAATTTTGGCAGTCAACAATACACTTTTACACTGATGGCAGCATTCACAGGCGAGATTCGAGAAGGGAGGAATTTGTAACATAAAATATTATCCCCATGAAATATTGTCCGTCGGACAAAATTTCATGAAAAATATTGTTCGCTGACACTATTTCATAATGACAAATCTTTTTGCGACAGCATTTTGGAGGTAAAGGAGTAACTGGAATATTAATTTGTGCTTATCTGTAATTATCAATCAAATAAAACACTTTAATGATATCATTATCCAACGTGATATATGTTGATAACCTCCCCTTCATGAGACAAAATTTCTTGATAACCTTTAACAGGGCAAAATTCATAGTATTCATATGTGAAATATTGTCTTCTCTGGACATTTTTTCTTAGATGAGGACAATATTTCGTGATACAGTCATAAAATATTGCCTTGAGGGACAATATTTTGTTTAACAGATTCCTCAATCCTTTTTTACAATTTTTCTCTCAAATTTATCTTTAATATATAAACCTTAATTGAGTTAAATTCACGAACAATATTATAAAAAAAATGCACATCTTGAAGCAATCTCCCGACTAATTCGAAAATGCTGTTAGTAAACAAATTATTTTTTTTATTCTTACAGTGATAAAAATTGCAAATATCATGAATATTAATGAATAACTGAAAAAAAATATATCTGCGATATAAGTTAATACAAATAAAACATTGCATGAAGTCTAGTCTGGGACTATTATAGTATAATAGTCCTAAATGAAGTCAATCGTTTTAAATACGCGGCATTTAATACATTTTCGGAACTGAGTAATGTCCGCAATTGTTCCACGGTGTACCGATTGCGTCGTCTAAGCGTTTGTTGATAAGGAACGTAAAACAATATTAAACAATACACGATTAAAAAATTAAAAAGTCCAGCGTGTTACTGAAGATGGAGTTACTTGTTTGTACATGATTTAAAACGACTGATATCTCTTTTAAAAGAATATTGCTATCCAAAGACTGGTATGTCTTCATTTCAATGAAGCAACATGGTGTCAAATGGGGAATTCGTTAAAAAATCACATTTTTCACCGGATTTACATTTAATTTTTAACGTAAGACAGTGTAGTTCAATCTTTGGATTGCAATTTTTAGATAATATACATTCAGACGACTTCATTGATACTTTGTTTCACATTCAAAAATTCCTTTAACACGCTGGACTTTTGAGTGGAAGGTATAATGCACGACCTTCAGTAGCGACTCGGGTCACGTGACTACTTTCACTTTTGATATGAAAAACCCATGCAATATTAAATTTAGGTCTTAATGTTTCATTCTACGATCTCTGTTTTCCAGGATCTTTTGCCATTTTTTGATTATATGCACTTCCATAAGACATGCATTTTTACGTATTTTTCTTGGTAAAATGCATTGATATCACTGCGTGATGATATTTTTCGTTAAATAATCCAGAGTTCTCTTAATATACTACCGAAATTTACCCAAAGGTACTTACTTTAAATAAATCTAACATAAACAGCAGTAGTTGTCCTTTTCTAGATTTAGACAATTCAATTTCTAAAGGGAACGCCATACTAAAATTTACGATAAAAGAGACGATTTTTCATTCCCTATTGTTAATTTTCCTTTTTTAGACGGTGATGCTCCTTTGGCTCCATCATACGGTGTTTATATATCCCAACTCGATCGTTATGCCCATGTGTGTAGTGATGTCATAGATGTTTACGAATGTAATCAATGCATCACTGGTAAATTATTAAGTCAGGGATTTCGTTACCATAAATTACTTAAAACATTTTGATTAGTAAATTTGGCTGTACCTGTAGAAAACTTATCAACAACTGTATTTTACATCCTAAATTTTACGGTAATTTTGTACTAAAAGCGCAGAAATAACTATGTGATCCGTGTAAACTCATCGAACCTTTAAACACACTTATTAGTAAAAGGTTATCTTATTAATGTTGTAATATTGTTTACATTGGCATTAACATCGATTTTGTCATTAACAAATTAAAACATAACTAAATTTGTATTCTTTTCCAATGGTTTTGGGGATATGTAAATACACATCCAAGTTTATTTTCTATTTAGAGATTGCTTTATCTATATATAACATGATACATTTTTATTATAACGTTAAATCCCAAATATCATACTGCCTGTCGATACTTTTATTTTGGCATTGCACAAGTCATGTCTTCTTCGACTGTCCATGGCGTTAAAACACTAAATCCGTTGGATGTGTTTTAATTGATTTTAGTCTCTGATGCATGATTTTGTATTATAATTTTTTTTTTTTTTTTTTTGCTTTTAACTAGCTTTCAGTAACTGCGATTACTCTCAAATCGTACTTTCTTGTTATTTTGACCTGTTGACACAATTTGTAATGCAGTTCTGTTATTCATCTGTTATTCAATGTTTCTTTTTTTGTGTTGTATCTCGTCTCACTATTTTCAATATGTACCACCTTTGATAAGTATTTAGTATGACGATAATTGGTTCACTTCTGTACTCGTACTGTGAACAACAAATTTATTTATTTTGAAAAAAATGTTTCCGTAATCCTAACAACAAAATTTTTATATTTAAATCTACCTGTGTATGTTATTTTATTTAACACCAGTTTCAGTTTGTTCCAGGTTAGAGTTGTCTTTTTCACATTGTTCCTACATATTGTGTCATAGATCAAACTTATTCGTTCAGTGTATGTTTACTTGCTTTGGTTATATGTCTATTTGATCGATTTAAGTCATTTCAATTGATATTTTATAGTGTGTCTTTTTATGTTGTAATGTTACTCTACAGTTTCAGGTTAGGGTCAAGGTTGGCGCTTTTTAAAATGTTTGAACCCGCTGCATTTGTATGCACCTGTCCAAAGTCAGGAGCCTGTTGTTCAGTGGTTGTCGTTTGTTAGTGTCGTTCATAAGTGTTTCTCGTTTCTCGTTTTTTATATAGATTAGACCGTTGGTTTTCCTGTTTGAATTGTTTTACACTAGTCATTTTTGGGCTCTTTATAGCTTGCTGTTCGGTGTGAGCTAATGCTCCGTATTGAAGGTAGTACTTTGACCTATAATTGTTTACTTCTTATACATTATGACTTGGATGGAGAGTTTTCTCATTGGCCCTCATACCACATCTTCTTATTTATAAGATCATGTAAGACAAATCAGTAAACACACATGAAAACAAACAACATAAAACAAAAACCCTGCAGACGAACCACGAGTAACTCGAATATACTGACAAATAAGACATATGTGAAATGTACCGAAAATACAGAATTCAAAACACAAACGAAATTAACAGACAACAACTCAGCTCAAAATGACCAACCGGACCCACACGTATAAGAAAGTAACAACAAAATGCCCGAAAGCGGGATATGTAAATACCGAACCAAGTCGTCTCCTACTTCATCCAGCCAATACGTCTTGAGGTCGATTATTGCCAATATTCCCACGATGTAATTAAATGCACCTCCAAGTTTGGATCAGGGACAATTGGTGGATTCCAAGTAGATATAAAAAACAAAAGCAGGGTCGTAGATTTGTCCAAATTTAACAACACTATAGCTATGAGATAATAAATACCAGCTTGATTAGGAATGATTTGATGTATGCTTGTTGTGTAGAACAGTTTCCTGATAATACATACTCAAGTGTTTTTAAAACAACGTATATCAGGGTGGTAAGGTTTTTTTTTTAAATCTTATTGTATTTCTTCAATTTGTTATTTTCTATTTAAATATCGGTCCGGCTTATTAAAACTCACGAAAGATTTATCAATTCTAAAGTTTGAATTACACTCCTGGTTGCAATTGCATGACAATTTTCAATTGTGACACCTATACATTTGAATCATGTGAATTTTCATATTATACTGAAATCTATTCTCACCAAATAAGACTTATCAATAGGTTTGTACTTAAAATGAGCAACACAACAGGTTACTCCCGTGCTGATCTTTCTTGGCATTTTTTTATTTTACAAGCATCAGAAATATTCATAGCAAAACGCCGGGATAAAAATAACTGACTGATAAAGATGATTAATGAGCTATATGATCAAAGCATGTCTAAAAATGCTGAAATGTTTTACCCGTTATCTTTATCCGCTCAAACAGTAGTTACTCCCGTGCCTTCATCTTGTCTTGAAAAGTAATGTTTGTTCTGTTCTGTTCTTTTAACATTATGCAGGGGCGTTACTTAATAAAGGCATGGACTAAATGTAGTTATTTACATCAATTTATTACATAAAATCAAGAATCTATTATATTTGAGATGAGTATAGAGATAAAAGGTTATTTTAGAAATAAGGAAAAAATATTACTTGTATAAGTTATTTTATACATCTTTGAATAAATTGGACTTTAGAATTTGGCACCAGGTAAAAGCATCATTAGCGTCATGCGAAATCCAGCCTCTTGTTGAAATAAACAAACGTTAGCAGTCAGAATGTATTTGAATTATTACATCAATTTTATATTCTGTAATCGTATCTGTAGTTTTCCTAGACAAATACTCTGCACGTGATAAATCATCTTCCAACTGCTGTCGCATTTTCACACGGTTCTGACTCGTCGCTGATCTTGACAACTCTCTCAGTACATTCTTCTTTTATAACTTTACAATCATCTGGATGACTTGTAATATATATTCCAACTCTATAATAGAACATATTTTTTATCACTTATTCGTCGACAAGATATCAGTAGAACATAAAAACATTTGATGTAAAGGTAACTGTATAAAAGGTAAAAAGCCGTATTTGAATAATTAGGTACCATAAAATGCATACAGTCAAGTGACAATTCAACGACAAAACAGAACACACAAAATGGAAAATAAAACATAATTACTATCATAAACAGTTTTATATAATGCATACGAGATTCAATTTACTTAAGACTGGCAAAGCTCAAAGGTCCCTCACCCCTCGCATTCCAATGATTGACTGCTGCAAATTTGTATTTGTACAAGATGTAGTTGCACAATATGTTTCTAAAAGAGAGAACAGGCACCTGGGGGCAACTAATAATTACCCAGTTTAAATATTATTTTTTATTTCTTTAGCTTAATCGTCTTTTGTTTTAACTTGTTCTCAAGTTCAGTGTTAACGTTAATAGACGTAAACTTTAAATCATGGTATATCTTGAATCAGAAATGCGTCATGATTTTAACACTGTTTCAATATTCAGATGCAGTTCAATAATATGAAAACATTAAGACGTGGTATGATTGCCAATAAGACAACTATCCACCAGAGACCAATTGACGTAAATTATAAGTAAATGTAGGTCGCAGTACGGCCTTCAACAATGGGCAAAACCAATTCTGGTTCGTAAACTATAAAGGACATAGTTTTGTCTTGATTTGTATTTAATTGTTTGTTTGTTTGTTTTGTTTGTTTGTTTTGTTTTGGTTTTTTTTAGGGGGGGGCATAATGTGTTTAGCGCGCACTTACGCTATCGGATCTTACACTTAATTTTTTGTCCATAAAGTTTGTCATGCATGCTAATATTTAAAGCGAATTTAAAGAACATATTATGAATATTTTGTTCAGAATGCAAATCACTTACGAACAACATTGTCCCCTGCGTAGGTCTGCTTCACAATGACAAATTTGACATCCAATTTTCCTCGTTTGCCCAGCAAAAAGGTAACGTCCATTAATATAACAGCCAAACATTCTCCGGTCGGCTAAACAAATTAAGATATATTTACATTACGAAAAATTAGTTTTCAAGCTTAAGATGATAATTACTGGGGATCTAAACATAATTCAACATGAACATCTCCTAAAGGTGATATATCATGGTATAAATTGTTTCTGCATCCCTTGCCCACAGACAAAGAACCTAATTTAGAGGATAAATCAGCTCTCACCAGCAAGTCTTTAAGACTTTTGGGCCTACAGAAAGCCAGTATCGAGTGATCTCACACGATCCGATATTTCTTACAGCTATTTCACCAGCCATATGTCTTTTTTAGAAAGCTTAGAGCTAAAACTTTTAACAGTCACTCCACTGGTACGGAATACACAATATTTTGCAATGTTAATTGCAAGACTACAAATGGTGTGTATCTTTTACAGTATGAATGTAGAAAACACTATGTTGGCAAGTCAGAATAGCCATTTCACAAACGTATGAACGGCCATCGTAGCAACTATGAATGCAAGCCAGACTTTCCTCTCAGTCGACATATGAAATCCTCTAGCCACACGACCCAAACACATCAATTGGAACCATAACTTCAAAATAATTATGGATTCCATTGAGGACTACGCCAGAGCATGGACTAAACGAGAAGACGTTTAAATGGACACATTGTCAGAATGGGTCAAAACAATCAGGTCTCTGATAAAACGTCGAATTCATAAGTTGAAAAAAACTGTGTGTGTGATCGACCAAAGTCCGTTTTCAGAGATAAAGACGCTGTGGAATTTGTCACCCGTGGTAAGGGGTAAAGCTTTCAAAATACAACACCCTGAGACAGATAAATTTCAAATTTGATACGTGATGTTCAGTTTTAACTATTTTAGAAGTCAAAGCTCTAACTGAAGCTTTCTAAAAAAGACGTATGGCTGATGAAATAGCTGTAAGAAATATCGGATCGTGTGAGATCACTCGATACTGGCTTTCTGTAGGCCCAAAAGTCTTAAACACTTGCTGGTGAGAGCTGATTTATCCTCTAAATTAGGTTCTTCGTCTGTGGGCAAGGGATGCGGAAACAAACGATGCCTGACATGCAAGCAAATACTGAATACCCAGACTTTTGACAGTCACTCCACTGGTACGGAATACACAATATTAATGTTCATTGCAAGACTACAAATGGTGTGTATCTTTTACAGTGTAAATGTAGTAAACACTATGTTGGCAAGTCAGAATAGCCATTTCACAAACGTATGAACGGCCATCGTAGCGACTATGAATGCAAGCCAGACCTTCCTCTCAGTCGACATATGAAATCCTCTGGCCACACTAAGGCAGATCTTAATCGACTGACCATTACAATCATAGAATACAAGACTGCTTGGTCTAGGGAGAATAGACTCGCTCGAAAGATTTTGGATAAGAAAATTAAAAACTTTGGCACCAAATGGAATCAATGAAAAGGTGTAGTTCTTATTCGCGCAGTGCTTTTCATTTGGGTTATATTAGATATTAATACGCAGTCTCTTTTGGTAGACAACTCTTAAATTCTAGAATTATACCAGTTTAAATTGCAGGGAGCTATTCATTTGATACGATAAGTACACAGCCACGTTCAATTACTTAATCTTTGTCAAAATGTTTTTTTTTAATCATTATCAAACTGCTATTTATTTGGTATGTGTAAAAACCAGCCTCTATTGTAATTACTTTACCGTCGTCAATTTGAAATTTGAGTATTATACCAGCTCAAAACGATCAGTGCTGTTCATTGGGAATGTATTTCTACGCAATCTGTGTTGTAATATCTTACCTTTCGACAACTGTGAAATTTTAGAAATGTACCTGTTCATATCGCACATTACTATTTTTGTTAGAAGCATATCTATGCAGTCTCTGTTGTTAATACCTAACCGACGTCATTTTTGAAATTTTAGAATTGTACAAGCGTTGTTGTGTTAGGTTTTAATTGTATAAAGTTAGAGAATGTTATAGTTAAATCAGAATAGATTGATAGGATTCATTTTACATCATAATCATACTGATGAAGGATATCTGTTATCCAAAATATTTATAGATAATTACATTTAATGTTTCCCTTTTTTTAATTTGGTGTTCTTTTGTACACTTTTTAGGCGTAGCCTAGTGTTACCTTTCCTCGTCAGTATAATCTAGAGTTGTAACACAGTCCATGATATATTAGGCATGAAGATGGAATTGATTGCAGATTAGCAAAATTATCTGTCGTAAAGGATCGTAAGATGCAGTCACAGAAATAATTATTTTATAAGTACGTCTAAACAAGTGACAAATCAATTCCATCTTCATGCCTTATATATCATGCACTGTGTTACAACTCTAGATTCTACAGACGAGGAAAGGTAACACTGGTCCACCGAAAGCTGAATTTTTAGTTAAATCTAAGTTGCCGAGTAGACTAGAGTGCTGGACACAGTGCAGGTGGTGTTGTCATGATATCCTAATAGCACGAGTTCGAACCCTGGCGAGGGAAGAACAATAATTTGCTTCCTCAAATTTGCAGATTTACCATTGTTGTGCTGATATTTAGAGTAATTATGACTATAATATGTCTTTTCAGCCGTGTATCACCTTCACTGGTGATCCAATGGATGGATCTGTCGTAGAGTTGTCACTTGTTTAGACGTACTTATCAAATAATTATTTCTGTGACTGCATCTCACGATCCTTTACAACAGATAATTTAGCTAATCTGCAATCAATGCCATCTCCATGCCTAATATATCATGTACTGTGTTACAACTTTAGACTCTACTGCCAAGGAAAGGTAACACTAGGCCACCGAAAGCTGAATTTTTAGTTTAGTCTAGGTGGCCGAATGGTCTAGAGCACTGGACACAGTGCAGGCGGTGTTGTCACGACATCCCAAAAGCATGAGTTAGAATCCCGGCGAGGGAAGAACAAAAATTTGCTTTCGCAAAATTGCAGATTTAACATTGTTGTGCTGATATTTAGAGTATATATATTCTGATAAATCTTTTAGTTTTTACTTTTAAATAAAATTTTAAAAAATCAACAATACAAAACCTATAATCTTTTATCTATTGCACTAGTAACTCGAATTTAACTTGAACGGACAAAAACGCATTAACGGCATTTAAAAATGATTAATGAAAATTGAATAAAGATCGACAAAAATTAAAAATTATTTTTAATGCATTTCAATCCATATCAAATCATTTTAATACCAGTCAAATAGTTTCCCTTGCGGTCATTCAAGTTAATTTGCGATGTGGTTAAACTGCGTCAAACTAATTAGCCACGCCCCCGTTAAACGGAATCAAACTGATGTTAAGTCCTTTTAAACTTTAAAGTGTCCGCCTTTTTGTAAGGTAAATCACTCAAGCAGAACAGCATCCTCGTGTATCTATCATTAATCCGCTCCGAGCGTTATCGATTTAAGATATTTTACTGGTGGTTAGTTTTATATATGTTTTCCAATATTTATGTTATACGTAATGTTTTATATGTATATTGGAATGTATAATGTTATACAAGCGGTGAGACTTTTTAATAAAAAAAATAAACATGCTTCACAATTAAGATATACGAATGAACAATAGATATATAATAAATTTTTAAATATTGATGCACGATTTAAAAAGTACAAAGTGTTAATCTGTTAAAAATAAAATAGCTCTTTATATCAAATTATTCGTTTTCAATATTGCTTACTAATATGAAAACTCGTGGCATGTAAGTAAGGTATGGTCTTTTAAATATATCTGCGAAAAAATAAAAACCGGAAAGATAATAAGAAGGTCGTAATTGTGCTCATTACAAACCTAGAAGGGAAAGATGTTTTTTTAATCAATAGACAATAAGTTTTAATAGATGCATATTATATTTTTGGCAAGAAAAAAACATTAACATTTATACCGACATTTAAAATAGCTTGTAATTAAAAACATTTTTTTGTTAAATAATAAAATTGATCTAGATGAGCTTGACATTTGTTGAATTCATTTAGTAAACAGTTTCGTCTTGCTAAAACTTGTAATTAAAGTAACAGCTCAATGAACTTTTAAATCTGTGTAAAATTGTAATACCGGTCACTGGTTAAAAATGTGTGTTATTTGTGTAAAAGCAGCAAACGACAAATGAAATTTGAAGTGGGTTTACGAAGGGATTATCGTTATGTCCGCATGTAAAATAATTCTTGCAAGAAATGAACATTTGACGAACTGGACTGGCTATTAAGCCCTCGCACGGTCGGCCCTGGCCCAAAAGGAATATTTAAAAAAAAAACCTTATTTTTATATTTGCGGCTTTCAAAAACGTTTTTAAGACCAAAAGGTAACTTAAACATTGTAAAGCACGTCGGATAAAATGTTTCTGTCATATAATTGTGTAAGGCATATTTTAGCGGTAATGCATATTTTAGCGGTAATTACTAGATAAAAAAAAATAATTGGCTATTCTAACTTCCCAAGTTTAATCTAGGTGCTCTCGTAGGCCACGTTTAATATTCAAATAAATTTCATTGGTCGGGATTTCATAATGTGTTATATGAAATTATCTTGAAAATAATTGCGGGAAAGGGCTGTTAAAGTCCGAGAAGAAAACTCTTTTTCTTTTTGCGGAAACGTGAACGAAGGAACGTGCTACAAATAAAGACCTGCGATTGTTTGTCAATAACTCAAATTTACAAAATAGTAAAATATAACTAATGATCAATGTCAAAATTATTGGAAGTTTTGTGATCATGACATCACCTATGTTATGTAGTATAATTACTCGAATTTGTCAATTATACCACATCTTCTTATTTGTATATTAATCATGTCAAAATACGAAAATGGAAATGTAGTGAAGTATTGTGTCCATGCATGACGATATCAAAGTCGCGTACATATACGAAGAGAAGATGTGATAAAGACGTAAAAGAGACAGCAACTCAACCACACAACATACCAGAATGTGAACAGTTAGCTCTTGTGTGCATCCTTTCCTTAGGATTTGACTTTAAAAGATATTACTACTTTTGCCTGAACATACCGGAAT